CACCTATCAACAGTTGGAGACCTCACTTTCATGCCGCGTTGATGGCGGATAGGGTTACAGTCAATGCCACAACAGGGCTCTCTCCATATTATTTCCTATACGGCATTCATGCAGTCCTACCAATAGAGCTGGAGATGCCCACGTGGAGCACACTGCCATGGGAAACTGTCCGTGACCGCTCTGACCTTATTGCCATGCGGACAAGACAGATCGAGCGCCGCGAGAAGGATATCGAAGAAGCCGTGCTACGCATGAATCGCCTTAAGGAGAACAATGCAAGTTACTTCGACGATCACCGCCGAACAAGACAAACCCCTCTGAAGAAGGATGACTACGTGCTCTTACATGATAGCCAGAGGTCTACGGACATGACATCTGTACAGAAACTCCGCTTCAGGTGGCTCGGACCTTATCTCATTGACTCAGTGAAAGGGAATGGGTCTTACTCGATTAGGGAACTCGATGGCACAGTGCTAAGCCATATCGGTGACAAAGGAGCAGATGCTATCAATGGTGATAGGCTGAAGAGGTTCTACCCTCGGGGAATCGGGGATCGTGATAATGATGATGGTGATGGCACAGCTCACGGAGAAGCTATACAGCAACCCCATCAGCTACGTACGCGTAGGCCTGTTGGAAGACCAAGGAAGAAGAGGTAGTGATATGGTAAATTTTCTTTACGTTTTGATGTCTTTTGATGCTATTTCGGGTTTTCTTTGTCTCCAAGTTGTAACCGCCGTACTCAGTTTCTCTCATGCGTTTGCGAGTCTTTCATTCGAAGTCCTTCATTCATTTCATTTCTACGAGTCATCTGTTTTTCAGCCGAAAAGTCATCTCTCCTTACCACCTATCTCCCTACCTCCCACTGTTCTTACCCTCTTCCCAAAACCCACGAGCCGCAACGATGAGCGAAGAACGGTTTCCCCAAGAACTGCAGCTGCAAGGACAGCAGATCGAGTCTATCGAGGACGCTCTCGAGATCCTACGCGGCTGTGACAAACCTGCAGCCTACCAGCTTGCTAGCCAGCTACTCGAGAAGCTAGAGAACTACCACGAACGCGTCGAGGACGCGATTAGCCGCCTTTACGGATATGTTGACGAGCAAGAGCTACGGAAAGGACAAGAGGACCACGCAGAGTTCAGGCGCAGATGGAAAGAAGCAAAGAGGGTCCAGGAACGACAGGCATCCACAGAGTCCTACACTGCAAGCATCAAGATGAAGGCCATCACTGCATGGGGAGAACAGAACGCGAATGCCTTCTTCGAACACCTTGGGTCCAGAACCATGGTCGAACTTGCCAGCAAGTTCGTGCGATCCTCTCTCAGCTACGAAGACCTCAGATTGTCTGTCAATAACGAGGTCGTGCTACGTCTGTCATCTTCAGGACGTGGCATTCGCACCACCAAAGAAGTGATCCAAGGAGACTTATCAAAGGCACTTACCCGCAAGAACACCCGGCCACTGATCATCGAGGATTTAAGAAGACTGGGACTGCAGCTTGACCAAGATGGATACTGCTGTGCCCATGGCATGGGAAACCCGTTGCCAGTTACAGACACGGGGGCAGCCGTACTACAAGAAGTCAGTGAGGAGATGGACATGGACGAAGAATCCGACTACCCTCAGGAAGATGTTGAGATAGAGCATGGGAGTGACGTCTCTTCAGCGCTCTCAGACGCACCCTCTTATCTTGAAGATCCCGATTTTGACGCCGACGCTGACACTGGTGATAATGATTCGCTGGCTACACGCCGTACCCGCGTTGTGGACTGCGGCTGCGCTATTGAGAGAGCTGCTATGAACAGAATACTAGCGCTGCCTAAGGACGCTACTGAGCGGCAAAAGCTGATAGCGCTAAGGAAGCTAGGCCGAGGCATCTTGTCCGAAACTGTCACTATTGTCACGGAGATTGAGATATGTGAGGACCATGCAAAGAGAGTGTTTGACCTCTTTGGAATGAGAAGCGCTAGCAAGAATCATGCGGCATTAGCATGGCGTGTTGACTTCATGATCAAGAACCTTAACGACTGGGATACTGTGATAGCAGAACACGGCGCCTGGTTTATTCAGCCGAAAAACCAGGTCCCTAGCACTGACACTTTGAGCTTTTACCGCTTTCATCATAAGACTAGACAGCCACTGATCGCGAACTTTGATAAGGATGTTCCTTGGCTATCATTTGAGAGTCTTTACCGACGTATGCAGCCGTCCCTTACCGACAATGGACAACTCCCTACCGACTTGTTTGACCGCATGAACCAACAAGGCACCGTCGTTATCCCGCAGCTCTTCGGATGGCTCAAAGAGGACTTCGACGGCCAGCACCCAGGTGGCATTCTTGCTATGGCAAATGAGGAGATAGACATGTATGACTACCACTATCAGCCACGCCCTCACCGACCACGCCTGGGGTGGTTACGCGATATGTGGTACAGTATCATTCAACAGGTCGTGAAACAAGACCCTGCCTACTACGCATGCTACGTTTTCCTACGACCTGATCACGCATGGCGTCTGATTTCTTACCCTTACTACGCCAAAAGCACTCTGCCAGGAGAACAGACCTTCTTTCGGCACATCGATGTGAACCTGAATGACTTGTCTCACTCTGGACGTGGGCGCGCCATTTTGCAAGGCAGCCTTTCGCTTACCGATGAAGATGAGAATAACTGCACCGAGTTACTCTGCGGCATGCACCCTCACGTACAAGAATGGTGGTCTGATGTTAGGCAGAGGCAGCAAACTGCTGATGGTCCTGTCAGCCGTATCGAACCATGGATGTGGACGCGTGACGATGTTGCCAAGTACCATACGGATTGGACGAAAGAGATCTGTCGCGCCGGAGATGTTAGGGTCAGCCTGCCTACGTTACCCCACGGTTCTACAGGACCTGCCACTAAGATACGCCGCACGATACTGCCATGGTTTGTCCGCATCAGAGAGGATCACTCAACTCTCGACGTTCCTGAGTCAAACACATGGGAAGAGCTTGCCGCCGCCCATAGAGACCTCATTCCTGCATCAAGAACTCCCTCGGGGTTTACTAGTCAGAAGTATGGGCGTATCCCGTACCCATTCCCTGCTGCAGTACGTTTCTGCCCAGGCAACCTGATCTCTCGCTGTTTGGTAGGAGGTTCTCGCTGGACCGAAGCTGGTGTTGCCGACGAGCTCGATACCTTGTTCGGAGAGAATGAGGATGCTGCCATTGAATACGTAAAGTCATGGAGATCCAAGGCACAGCACGAGTATGTCCGTCTATACCAGACAATGGTAGACAGTGAGAAACGCGCCTTCGGCAAAGACTCCTTCTTCAGGAGAAAAGAACTGGGTCTGTCAGTTGATCCTCCCCTACCGCTTGACCGCGAGGACATTGCTTGAGTTATCATGATGGCTTATTGACCAGGGGACGGTCAATTCATGAAGGGGGGTGGTATGTAGTGGGGAAATCACGACACTTGTATGATTACTGCCTCAGGCAGTGATATCCTCGAGGACGGGTTATGGGCAACCTACGACTGTAGAGAAGGATAGACAGTTACAACAATGCCACTCATTTCCTGATTCAAGATTTATGATCATTATGCTCCTTGATATAGCATCTGATTATCCCTGATAGGCATCATCTGTCTAGAGCTCACAGACCTGACTTGTTGTTCGGTTTTCTTGCCACCATTTGTCGACCCGTCTGTTTTGACCAGACTGCCATCGAGCATCTCCCATTTCAATATCTATAATTTCGATTTTAGCTAGAAAAAATACGTTTTGATACTGAATTTCAAACACTAATCACCAAAATATACCGATTTTGTATATATTATACAAGTGAAAAAAATGATTACGCCATTCGTTACCCTTTTCTGGCACCACCGAGGCATTGACGTAGGTAATCAGTGAGCGGGCCGTATCAGATTGAATACCGTAAGATGTCATGTGTATGGTATTGAGCCATACTCGCAATATTACAACGGGTTTCCAGGGGTGTAACAAAAGTATTTGGCCGCCAGTGCTTAGGGCCCTGGCCCATTTTTATTACTGCCGGCAAGACCTCCAAAATTCATTCAATTCAATAGCCAGTATGCCATCCATCGTACTTGATAACATTTGAAACGCAGTGAGGCATTGTACTTGACATACTTTTCAATATCTCAATATCTTTGTAGCGTATATGTTAAATAACGTGTTGAATCACGAGATGTCCAAGGTTGGCGGTCTAAAACGTGGTAAAACGGAAAGTGAAGCCGAGTACTGGTGGCCAAATACTTCTGTTACATCACTGGACGACAATTGAGTGGAATTGAAGCTGATAGTGAGCTTCAAGATATCATCCGAAGAGAACGGCTTCTGACCTGGTTCCTGGACGATCTGCCAGGTGCAGATGCTACGTGGACTTCAAGTTTGAATGTATGAGCAAACAGGGCTGGCTTTCGCAGCAACTGTATCATGCGGACTGAGGGTAATAATAGGAATTCATTTCCATATGAGTCCATCCAGCGCGTTAGATCTAGGGCGCTGCTGCGTCAAGTTGGCAGAATTCTATGGCTGCAATGTGGGAGATTATCACAAGCTATAGTGTTGAAAATTTGAAGTTTTGGGCCAAAATTAAGGCTTTAAATTAATCAAGATTATATCAAAATGTTGCACATATAAGTTCTCTGTGGTTACAATCCGTAGCTATTTCTAAATCGAGCAGCCACTATAGCAAAAGCTAGTTAATCACATGGGCTAGCAACTCGATTAGCTACTACTGTGGCTTTGATGGAATACTTCGCAAGTGGAATGGAGCCTTATAAATTGTCCTTTTGTCCCAAGCCCTATGTTTGTAACGGAATTGAAAAATTGTAGCAACGAGGGGAAATAAAAATGATCGATTACTATATACAAAATCTAAAAATGGAGACCCGCCCTGATGAGTGTCCTAGGGCAAGAAAGTTACCATATATCTTGAAACAGGCGGGCCGGAACTCGAAAGGAAGCCATATGATCTTACTGCCATTTAATGCTATCCATTGGTAGTGCTCGATAGAGATGCGTGGGGTCGCATGAGGTGGATGAGATATAGGACTGTCACACGTCGATTGAATGAAAATGGCACCTATATTAGTGTGAAGATATGAAGCACTATGCGAAAATTCAAGCGTGGTAATTGCTTCCTCAACTTCGAGGGTCTGGGTGAGCGCGCAGGTCATTGGGTCCCAGAGCTGTACTGTTTTATCATCGGAGCCGGAGGCTAGTAGGCGGCCGTCGGGCGAGAAGGCAACGGATCGAACCCAGTCTGAATGGCTTTCGAGGGTCTGGATAAGCGCGCCGGTTGCCGGGTCCCAAAGCCGTACTGTTTTATCATCGGAGCCGGAGGCTAGTAGGCGGCCGTCGGGCGAGAAGGCAACGGATCGAACCCAGTCTGAATGGCCTTCGAGGGTCTGGGTAAGCGCGCCGGTTGCCGGGTCCCAGAGTCGTACTATTTTATCATCGGAGCCGGAGGCTAGTAGCCGGCCGTCGGGCGAGAAGGCCACCGAGAAAACCCAGCCTGAACGGCCTTCGAGGGTCTTGGTAAGCGCGCCGGTTGCCGGGTCCCAGAGCCGTACTGTTTTATCACCGGAGCCGGAGGCTAGTAGGCGGCCATCGGGCGAGAAGGCCACCGAGTTAACCGGGGCTGAATGGCCTTCGAGAGTCTGGTTGCGCGCGCCGGTTGCCGGGTCCCAGAGTCGTACTATTTTATCACCGGAGCCGGAGGCTAGTAGGCGGCCATCGGGCGAGAAGGCCACCGAGTCAACCGGGGCTGAATGGCCTTCGAGAGTCTGGGTGAGTGCACTCCATCCCTCTTCAGCTTCTGGTAACTGACATAGCCAACTAGGAAGCAACCGCTTAAACTCTTGACGAATTATCCCCGTTCGGGGTGCAAATATCAGTCCCGCAGAATAAACTTGAAGGGGGGCTTGATCAAGAATTTGGCGAAATCTCAGAATAAAGCGCTTTGCATCGTAAATGAAATCGGAAATCGTGGAGGACACATTATCCTAAAACTGTCAGTGCACACCATGTATTTTTATCTTCGAAACATACCGATATCGCATTTTTGAGGTGATCAAGAATACCTAATACCTCAGACGTAAGGCCATGTAGTCCCATTGCTTCCACCCAGTACAAAAAGTGCACCCGGAGAAATGAATAAGCTTCGTGCATCATGGCAGATAAGTCCACGGATTGTGTCAGATGATGCGCCCAGTATCGACAGGCGTATTTTAGTTCAGGTGGTATATAATGCTCAATCAAATCATTGCTGATTTCATTCCTTTCCGTGCCTTCACTTGGCAGTTTGCAGATGTTTTTCTTTAGGTTGTCTTGCATGATCTGAAGGCATCGTTCTGCAAGACGCTGGTTGGCATGTTTTTCATCAATCCAGAATTTGCTTTCGTCTTTGTGGCCTAAAAGAAAATCTCGGAATGATAGATGAAGGAGCCTGACTGGTGTGTCGAAATTGTTTGGCACACTGAGCACTGAGTGGAGTTGGTCTAATCGACATTTGATATCGTCTGACTCTCTGTTGATAAGGTGGCTAAGGGAGTTGATCGAGAGCGGATTGGTAAGAATAATGATCACCCCGACTATCTCTTTGAACTCTTGGAGCAATTCCCGTGACTCTGTTTCATCCTGGCCAGTGAGAAGTTGCGTTAGCACAGGAGTATATGTGCTACCCATCTTGGTCACGTAGGTTGATTTGTCTGTTAGTATCGCTTTAAGTCGCTTTCGAGGGTTCCAATTTGGATCACCGATAAAACGACATAGCGTAGCAGCTGCAATGAAAAGAGGGACGGCCCTTTCCGCTAATTTCCTTATAGCCACGTCTCCGGGCCAGTCTTGTGGTAATGAGCGGTTTTGTTGTAGGTGTAGGAACTGATTTTTCAAGTATAAGGAAATATCGTGCTCTATCACTGGCTTTTTGATCTCATGAAGGATTAAATCCTGATAGGCATCGGTGATCTGTTCAAAGCCTAGCCTGATCCGTAGCTCAGGTCTGCTTGTTAACAAAAACCGTAGTTGGAAGGAGGTAGACTTTTGAACTTGTGGTAAGAGCCGTAGAATAATTCCTATGTCATCCTCCGAATCGCATTCGTCCAAAGCATCAATCACGATGACTCTTCGTGTGTTCCCTTCGTGCAGCTGAATTGTAGAAAGTGGATCTAGTAGGAGCTTTTGAAATTGTTCTCTCAAGACCTTTTCCGAAATGTCAGGGTCATTTTCAATTGCCTGTTGAACTTGCGGCAACATTCGAGGTATCTTGATGACTAGTTGCTCAGTCAAGGTTGGGAAAAGCTTTTTTGCCGTTCCTCTATCCTCTTCGCCTCTTCGGAAGAAGAAACTCGCCCCGAGAAGCTGCTTCTCATGAAGACGGCCTGCAATTGTTTGGGAGATTGTTGATTTTCCTGTCCCAGCCATCCCGTTTAACCAGAATATGCATTTTCCGTGTGGCGATGTTGCCCAGTCTTCGATTTCTCGAAGCAGGTCAATCCGAGTCCCCGGGAGACATTCACTGTGTTGATTATCGTAGGAGTCGAATGCTGCTTGTTTTGCAGTTCGTAGTCTGCTGAGGTCTATCTTTTTGTGGATCGACTTGGTAAGTTTTCTAAATCAGAGTCAGAGTTAGCCCGTAATAGCAATGAGTGAGAGATCAAATCAGGTCCGTAACCTACGTTTGATCGATCTGCAAGGATAAGGTAAACGTTGTTTGGTACCATTCGAGCTCGTTGACCGCAAGATCTACCTCCGACCGAGCTAGCGGCCATTTCAAAGCTCGGAGGCCCCATTTCCTCATCGGGTTCTGCGTCGTTTCCGGGTTGATTTTCTCTTTCAAATTTGCAAGTGCTGAGAAGCACTTGCCGATATTGCCCACCAGGTCTTGCGTAGCAATAAGCTTGTTGCCATCGGATCCACGGATCAGATCATCGAGAGATCCAAGAACTTGGGCAAGGGCGGTTATCTTCTCTTGGAAGCGCTGAATATCCTGCGTTGCGTTCTTGACATTATTGAGATATTTTCCACATATCTGCGCGATGCTTCCGGTCAACTGGATCACAGCAATAACACTTGCTGCACCCGAAAGAGGATCCATGGTTAACCAACCCTATTTCGAAAGTCAAAATATCGAGGATAAAAAAAGTGGGAGCTTATGCCCCTCAAAGAGGGGTCGTGCGTTTTTGCCCAGGAGGAGACTCTTCACAATCATTGGCTGCAGGAATAAGTTAGTTCAAGATGGCATTGTGTTAAGACATCAGGTGATATCAGGTGATAGACCAAAGCCTTGTAGATGAAGGAGAGCTTCTCTCTCTCCCTGCGTTCTCTCCCCAGTCTTTTCTTAGCTGCAATATCATTACCATTCATCCCTTCTTTTTTTCTCTTTCTTTCTAGTCATCTGGGGCTTTTGAAAAAGAGACACTTGAGAGAGCCTACCTTCCAACTTGTGCATTTTTTTCTCTTTTTGCTGCTAATAACATGAGACTTAGGAATATTTGAAATTTCGTTAGTTCCATGAGGTACCAACACAAGCATTGAGCTTAGCTTGCTCCACTTTATTTCTTCGCTTTCCTTCGTGTCGGAACCACCTTCGCCTCTGAATCAATATTTTTACTTGTACCTTCCCGTTAAAATGGGCCGGAACCTGCAACATGTTCCGTTATACAGTCACTTTTCGAAGCCTTTCGAAGAATTTCCAGATATTCCACCTATGATCTCGGCTCTGGACGGAAGTGCTTTGTACGAGGATGGCTGGTCTAGCCTTGTGAGATATCTCATTGCAGTCAACGATGTCGCAAACTTGCATCGCTACGTTAAAGCCCATGGCACCCGTTTCTTCGGTCCTACAGTGGTGGTGCACGAGTTTGATCCTGACCGATGGGACCCTTTCGAGATAGCTGCAAAAAAAGGCAGCATCGATGCGCTTCGCGCGCTTCAGGAAATTTATCAATCCGACACCAGCCAAACTGAGTCAATTGAAGCTCGACTGAGACGTAAGAAGATTGAACTGCTGAACATCGCGTGCTTCTATGCCCGGTTCGACATGGCGGACTTTCTTCTGAGCTGCGGTCCACCCTTGGGTGCACAGCTGAACGATCACGATTCCACCGGCTCGCCTCTTTTGTCCGCGATAGAAGCGCTCGGAACCGGAGGCAACCGCAGGGGGAGTGAAGTTGATAATACCGAGATTGAAGTCTTCGTCTATCGGCTTTTGGACAGAGGTGCTTCAGTTCCTCAGGCTAATAGTTATTGTTCCAACAACGATCGACCTGATCATCCAGACTTACAGGCGACTGTGCTTGGATCTGCCGCTCCCTTTGGAAGCTACGAACTAGCCTCTCGCCTCATTACCGATGGAGCCGATATTCATGCCCAGCAGATATGGCATGAGCTATGGGGAGGCGACGTTCATTCAGTTACCGCGTTGCACATAGCTAGCGGGTTCTGGAATCTGGAGTTTCTCAAAGCACTTATTAAATACTACAGCGACGGTCAACTCGCTGAGGCAGTTACTATAGCTGATAGTAAAGGACAGCTGCCACTCCACTGGGCGCTGCTTGGCCTTGATTCCTCTGGCCGACGACCGGGGCAGCAAACGATCTCCGAGGGGCTCGAGATCGTGAGGCTCTTACTGGAAGCCAACCCAGATACTATAAATACCGAGGGCAAGAGTGGAGCGGCCTTCAATTTTGCTATGAGTGGCAGGATTGCTGGTGCTGAAAAGCTAGCTCTTGTGCAGCTTCTTCTCGACACTAATCCACGTCCAACCACTTTAAATGCGCGAGATCAGTCGGGTGCGACGGCTTTACTTCGCTTGATGGCATTCTATGAGGGCTCTGGCTCAAGTCAACATACGTATTTCGTGCCACTGGTTAATCTTCTCCTTTCGCGTGGAGCCGAGAGGAGTCTCTATGATGATAAAAATCAGACCGTACTACATAAGCTAGGGTCTAGTGCTGCATATAACGAGGATATTCCCTCTCATTTATTGGAAATGCTGATTCCATTTGTCGACATCAACCAGGCAGATATCAACGGTTGGACAGCACTACATTTCATGGCGCGAAACTTGCGGCAAGTCAATGCATCTCGCTTGCTAGTCAATCGAGGCGCAGATGCCAGTGCAGTCAACAACAAGGGAAACACGCCTCTTCATGAAGTAATGACAGGAAGGCTTGTTAGGAAGGAAAGAGAAGACGGGTCACTTGAATGGCCGACCCTTTCGGAGAAAATCCAGGCACACGACGAGATCATTTCGATTTTACAAGATGCCGGTGCGTCGATGGATCAGCCAAATGTGACGGGCAGGACACCGGCACAACTACTAGTGGAGAAACGCGCCAAGTGGGACAAAGGTGGTGAGTAGGCAAAATGGCAAATGCTTGAATATATTGAGAGTAATCAAAAGCTGGTAATCTAACATTGGGAATTGGCTAACATGCCCTAAGTCACGGTATTATAAGATATTGCGGACAGATAAAGCCTATAGGCTCAATTCTATTCTATTTAGCGTAGTTTTCTTATTGATTCTCAAAATATATTTTTGATTATTTTTTCAATCTATCAATACCAAACTTATCCATGACATTCATTATATCGATCTCAGCATCGGATCTAGCTAGTAGTCGACACACACTCCACACCAATGTCACCCTGGATTCCATCGCAGATGATCTCAGTGCCACCATCGGGAGCAACAAGGTTGATATCCTCGAGATGGATATTCGAGCACACGGCATTGGGCGAGCAGGTCAAGTCAGCAACCACCTGATCCTCTGCTCCCGACGAGGTACCATAGATATTCTGGAAAGTGATGTTGGTGATGTTTACAGCAGAGGGGTACTGCGCACATGTGGTAGTGTTGATGTTGAAGTAGCATTGATCCAGGACAATGGGCTTGTCGGTGTTCTCGATGTGGATGTCCTTGTAGGTGATGTTGTTGATGCGGCCGTAGCCAACATCGGGTCCAGCCCATGCCTTGAGACGGGCACCAGTCTATGTTTGTTAGAAATTGTTCTTTGACTGGAGGAGGATCTCATACCTGTCCGTTCAGCAAGGTGACATTCTCAATCCAGGCATTCTCGATAATGTCCTGAACCCCGGAGTATTGTCCGATACTACCCATGCTAACACCATGGGTGTTGTTGCACCATAAGTTCTGCACGAAGATGTTGGTGGTGTTGGGCTTGGGTGAGAAGCAGTCATCGCCGATATCCACGCGGGTGTTGGTCACAGTCAAACCGTTCACGTTGAGGGAATCAAATCCATCGGTGTTCTTGGGGAGAGCGGATGCATTGGTCGAGAATGCATTGATATAGACATCGTCGAAAACTACATCATTGGTGCGAATAAAGAAGTTGGTCCAGCAAGGCGAGTTCAGTTGAGTGATTCCCTCAACACTGATCCGAGTAGCATTATCGGTCAGGAATAGAATAGGGCGGTAGAAGGTGTTTGATGAGTCCTTACAGACTATTAGCTCAATGATCTGTGGGGTTGTATGAATTATTCTTACCAAAATCTCCATGCCGGCAAAGGCATTATACCAAGCCTGACCATTTCCATTCAAAGTACCCTTGCCAAAGATCTTGATATCTTGACCACCCCACACCCAGAAGGTAATGGACTTTTGGAAGGCATAGTAGAAGTTGTTTGCTTGCCAGTAGTCGATGTCATCCGTGAACTATATCTGTCAGCGTGGCTCATTCTCATGTGTCTAGGATAAGATAGCATACCTTCAATTCACCATCGAGCTGCACTTCAATATTATCCAAGAAACTGAGATCAAGCTTCTTTCCAATCACGTACTTCTTATTCTTCTGAAGAATAAGTCGTCCACCGTGGTTGGCAGCCTTGATACCCCAGAGGAAATCATCGGAGATATCATCTGTGTCACTCTTTGATGAACGAATAGTGACTGTCCGACGGTCTTTGTACTTTTGGCCATGGGCACCAATCTTCTTCAATTCTCCCTTATGGTCCGCAGGAATGATTGATGCACCCTTGATAACATGTTCTGTTGCAAGAGCACTGACTGTGCTGAGAAGCAGCGCACCGATAGCGAGAAACTTCATGGCTAGTTCAGCTGGGAGAGGTAATTATGAACTTGTGAGGAATGAATGGCAAATTGATCGAGCAGACATGATCACTTTATAGAATACCCCAGAGTTCAATCTCAATAGCCGAAATCCTCTCGAGCTCTCAACTAGTCTGGGGAACGGCGATGGGCGGAAGAGAAAGAGGTTTCTCCGCCTATAAGAGACTGTCAATTGCATGATTCCCAGACAAGGATGATCGGCATGGAGCGCGGAATGTTAGCGGTATACAGCGTAGACTACGGTACTTCGTATAGATGAAATCATTTCTCCGCATTTTGCCAAGATCATCTTTGGGCGGGGATGCGGAGAGACTTTAGTCAGGACAAGCTTGAGCAGGACTAAAAGCATCTTTATTTTGCAGGCCAATTCGCGGCTGTTGTGGTCGGGATTCATTCCACCGTCTTGGACTGATTTGCATTTTGGGGAATGGGATCTTCCACCAATCAGGGCTGGTCTTGACCATCATAGATCTGGGGTTAACCCGCGGGTTTTTACAATAAGCGGCATTATTGATCTTTGTTTATTTCCGGGGGCAGATTTTGCGTCTTGGTATTGTTGGGGTTTATTATGAGGGCTGGGCGCCCAGTGTTTGGAGAGCATTCGAGAGCACTTCCTGACGGGGATACTTAACTGTCCGCCGTTTCAGATAAACAAGGTGCAATACGAGGATCGAAGTTGATTTCAAGACGCATGCGCTTGATAATTTGCTTGATATTAAGGTCTCAACAATTGTCAAAAAAACGACGCGTCTGTACGAGACGTCGCTCGCCTCAACGCTTCTCTGATTGTCCAACCCCTCTATCTTATTGCTCTCGCGCCATGTTTATCCTCGCTGCGATAAAAGATATTTTGAAGAGGCAGTGAGGTCATGCCCACTGTGTTCGTTGAGTTTCGCTCAAAGCTTCTTGCTTGCCAGCACCAAAGCAGTGAGACAGCTGATGTTACCGGACCACCAAGTCACAGATCGAAGGTAACTCCAAGATGGCGACTCAATGTATGAGTACGCGAAGCTGTAGGCGACACGTGAAACAGTGTACCAGATACCAAGACCATTGATGGTCTCGTTAGGGAGACCAGCGTACAACGAAAGCAACACTAAACCAAGTCAGCCGAGCTGTAAATCCATTATCAGCAGCAAATACTTACTTGCCGCGACAAAGAGCGAATATCCCTCCTGCGCGTTCGCATGTGCAGCCTCCTTGCGCTTGAGTCTCTCAAGGGCGCTCCGACTCAGCTTGCCAGCCTGGACAGCGCGATCGCCATACTTGTACAGGTCTTCACGCGGGGAGACATTGTGGTCGAGACGATAGTACGCCTTCTCACCGCGGATGCTCATGAAGCAAAATGCGAAGAACCAATTGGCTGCGAGAAGACCGGCGGCGTGGTTTGCGGGCTGTTGGCCAGCCGCGGCGCGGAGGCCTAGGGTTGTCAAAAGAGCACTGGTGACTGTTAGATCGGTCCTTTCTGTTTGTTCAGTGAGTGGGCAACATACGACATGTTTGTTGTGGATCAGCCTCGGGATGGGAATTGCCCCCCCTTATATGCGACGATCGGCCCATGTGGGCTCAAACCGAGGCGATGAGATCATGCAGATCAATTTCTTATGCCAAGTTTCCAACGCGAACTGCCAATTGAACTGTCAATTCAACAATTGGTAGGGATGTTACTCCCCATTTTGGGGTTTACAGGGGTTCAGGGGTTCATCCGAGGTGTCGGTTGAATTTTCATTGATCGCTCCCGCCAGCAAAACTTCACCTTGCATGAAACAATTCGTCGGGCGCGCGCCATGCCATGTGAATCACCATCTAGTTGGCATATATCCATGGAAACTCTGCTCCCTGTATATGACAAAATAAAATCAAGATCTATATCTCTCAATCTATCTTAATTATCATCAGAAACTAAATTTGTCTTGCTTCTTCCATGTCTCTCCCACCTAGTACGTGAGATCTGGCATATCAATGCGAGGCAGATCTCTTCAAGGGCTTCGAGATTCCGATCTAAAAACGCATATTTGTAAAACCGGTAAGACAATGCTCATCCAGGGGTGATGCGTCAACCGCCAATCCGAATCACCAAAATGCCGTGCGTTATCCTCTAGAGCTAGGTATATAACCCAACCTCCCTCCATTGTGCCTGCCCAAGAAGATGCGGAATCTGCGGAGTCTCGGTCGCTATTTTGACAAGCTCGTCTTCCGACTAGCAGCTGACTATCATGGCGTTGAACGCATCGAACAACTTGGCGAGAACATGTCGCCCCTCAATAATCGAGTCATTGTTGACACGAAGGAGCAAGCATGTTTTCAAACAAGAACCCACTTGACTGCTTATTATAAGTTCAGGTTTATATGAGTTTCCTAAATTTCCGCTCTAATTATGAGATAGGTCGCGCGGAAAATATTTGTTATCATGTCTGTTGCCAAGTCATTGGATGGTACAAGTTGATGCAGTTTTTTTCAATATTGTCTAAGTGGAGCCCTCCATTTCAGTTATTTTGAATCGTAACTCGCATAGAGTTCGATGCGGCTCTTTCAGGGTTCGATTCAGGCGTTCTGGATGTTGTCCGTAACACTCGGCTAAAATTGTTGAATTACAGCCTGATTGGCATTTACCATACTATTACGCATAATCCATTCATCTGGTAGATAATTGTCACAGACTAAAGCAAGGCAAGGCACTGCTCGGTGCCGGTAACTGATATAATGGACTCACGTGTCAATCCTGTGTATGGGCCATTAAGTACAGTATCATCTAAGATATACCTTCACCCCAAGATAACCTTGCAGGACTTTAAAAAACTTACAGTATTTGGTCTGCCACAGCCGAAAGGGTATATGAAGTAGCACCCCCGCGTGAGTGATAACTACAATTTATGAACTTGTACCTGGGGAAGGCAAGTTTTTACAAGTCGAAACTGAGCAGAAATCTATTTTCAACAATATTCCTCTCCTATTTCTTCTGCTTTATTGAAGCTAGCATTTGATAGAGTGATAAGTCAAGTTTTTTTTGGCTTCTTACACTATATCAGTTAAATGGTAGTCCATGTTACTTTCAATTTCTCCACATGAACTAGCCCAAGCCAAATTTGAATGATGTCCAAACAAACCAAGCAAGAAGTTCAATAACTTTTCACCTCATTATCTTCTCCAACTAGCTCAAAGAAAGGAACAATTATTCAATAAGGATCAAGTGCTTGTACCAATCTTGCACCTGAACAACCACATTAGAAAATCGAAGTGCATTCCGGAGCCGGGGAACCTACCAAAATGACTTCGCAATATTCAGAACTGTTCTGCTGATAATCAGGGTCTCCACATTCGCAGGAATTTCTGTCGCAGTGTCCTATTTGGATTTTCACCCTGGCCACTTCCCCCCTGGCCACTTCCCCCCTGGTCACTTCCACTCTTGTCATTTCCACTCGCGGGAGCACTACTCGCGGGAGCACTACCCGCGGGAGTTTCACTCGCGTCATTAGGACTCACGGGAGTACTATTCTCGGCAGTACTACTTGCAGTTCCACTCGCGTCATTAGGACTCACGGGAGTACTACTCACGGCAGTACTACTTCCAGTTCCACTCGCGTCATTAGGACTCACGGAAGTACTACTCACGGAAGTACTACTCGGGGTAGTACTATTCACCGGAGTACTACTCGGGGTAGTGCTATTTGTGGCAGTTCCACTTCCGGTAATTTTGTCCTTGCACTTGCAATTTTTATCGTCCCAGATATGGCAACCAGCGGGTTTCTCTATGCACTTCACACAATAGCAGTGCTGATAGTCCCATATCTTGCAATTGTGGTGATTCTTCGTCTTTGAACAAACTGAGTCCTTGCATTCGCATTCAACCTCGTCCCAAATCTTGCAGCTGGGTGGTCTTGGTTTATCACACTGACAGACAGGACACTTCGATCTGCATCTGCAGTGTTCCCAGTCCCAGTCGTCGCATTGAGGCTTGCGGTTTTCGCACCACGGACCCCGACACCTGCAATGAACTGGGTCCCAGCCATATTCGCAGCAATAGTTCTTCTGACATTCAGGTCTGCATTGAGGCTGACATTGAGTTCCCTTTCCTGGTCGAGTACACGTGCAGTACCTCCAGTTCCAGACCTCACACGTAGGATCGTAGTTCTCGCACCACGGACCCCGACATTGGCAAGTATGAGGGTCCCAGCCATTTTTGCAGCAATGCTTTTTGCGACATTTGTTGACTTTCGGTGTTGGTGTTCCTACCGGCGTTGATGAGCCTGCCGGTGTTGATGTTTCTGTCGGTGTTGATGTTCCTCCTGGTGTTGTTGTTCCTCCTGGTGTTTTGTCACAATTTTTCCCCTCTGGACACTCCTCCCCGACCTGACTACTTTCTGGACTCTGGCTAGTCGCGGTTTCACTCTGTGAACCTTGATCACTGGCTTGGCGGTTGATCTTGGAACCATAGTTGCTGTCGATGCATGTGCAACTGATAGAGTCCCAAGCTTTGCAACCGGGGTCTACCCGGTCACACTTCCCGTTTTTGGAGACTAGGAACATGTTATAGTAAGGTATCTTAATGATGTCTGATGATAGTACCTTGATCATTGTAAGTTCCCCTGTATCTCTCCGCAGGTGAAGCAGAGACTAGACAGAGCAAAAACACAGTCAAGATGGCATAATTGGCTTTCATACTGAGAGCAAATATACTGGTGAGCCGTAGACTCAAGATTAAAGAGGTAAAGAAGAGTTTAGTTAGATCGAAGCTCATGAAAAAAGACGGATTAGATGCCTAAATATATACTTCACTGTCACCATACCGAGACTAAAGTCTGCTGTGTCATAATGATCTGACGATATCGACTTGAAGGTCTAGACAAAGATGTTTCTTGAGGGTTACGCGCTAAAACATAGTCCTGTGATTCAAACTGCGGAGACATGATTTCAATTGGTTTATCGTAAACTCGAAAATATGGTTAGGCAAGCTAGGGTGCAGACGTCAAAATCGTGACAGATTCATGGATCGTCTGCAGTCCTTACTATCACCCGTGTCGTACTTCTCAAAGCGTATATCTGATGATATGAAAATCATGAAGGAAAAGACACCGATGTTACTTGTTGTGTTTAAATGAGCTATGCCCGTGGTAATACCTCAAGCTATGTGTGGGGTTCGCCAGGGTTGAGTGTTCCTAATTAATCACTTTGGTCGATTTAGTTTGGCCAGGTCATTCTGACAGCAACGCGCCAATCAACGAACTCCCAAATCACCGCGGAGATATTCTGATCTTCTTGCAACATACAAACTCAATCTCACCCTTATACCTAGGTTCCCTATAGAGGTCTTGACATTCTTTCAATAATGGACTGGCTCGTATCTTGTATCGTACTATATGACAAGATATTCCATGAGGGATTTATGGATCTGTAGAAAAAGAAAGCAGCATAGCTCTGAGTGGCTGCTAGCAAATTTCAATTTCACAGCGACGAGACTATCTCTGCAAATGCTTAGCATCGTGCACTAGAACCGGTCGACGAAATGAGTATCAATCTTCGACTCTTGAAAAATACCAAGCAACAGATCTTTCGCTACAACTCGATTGCAAGTAAATACCCCGCTTTCTGTGTTAGGACTTGACAGAAATAGAAATTGACTATCATCAATGCATGTTGGTAAGATCATGATTGGAGCACGTCCCGTATTACGATATTTCGAATCTGAAATTTTCATGAATATCAATGTCCTTGTATATTGGCTATTGAAATTTGTTAAAGTTAAGGTTATTGCTGAAAATCAAGTCAGTTACCACGTAGCAAGAGTTGATGAGACGTAATGAACGCCAATAATGATTAACTGTATTTTTGTAGTGATAGGACTATTCTCCTAAATATGATAATACGCAGGTAAACATCAAATAATACAGTACTTTGGTCCGCACACATTTGATGGTAGGTTTTGTCTTTGATAAAGACGAGGAACCGCGGATAACGAAAGCACGGACAAGTTTAACACAAGGTTGCGGGCTCGGATGATCAACATGTCGTAGGTTTGGCGGCGCTCATCCACTTCGAATGCTAGATGTTATTTTAATTCGGGGTCAAATGTTGACCTATGGTTAGGGCTGACTGAACAAGACGAGCCACGTCGTATGTCATCCGGAAAAATTCAGACCTCGGAACCGCTGTATAGATTACTTTCTCTCCGGTCACAGCGAAGTCGACGGCACACATAGTATAGGAAATGGTGAGTATGTGCTTAGCGATACTTCACATATTTGTAGACAGGTTCAGCAATAGCTGCCTGGCTTTCTGAAAATGTCTCTGGATTCGGAGTATCCAACGTCCAACGACATATTATTGAAATTTGGGATCTGAGTCGCACAAATAGTGTGTGGTACGGTTTCAGATTTAAGGTTGACTTCAATGCCGCGTAGAATCTCCACTGGTTTGTGCACGAAAAATGTGATCCTGTCTCCCTGGCCACACAAATTTGTATCGCCAAGACGGGAAAGTGAGCTAGTGATTTCATGAAAAGGCTGGCCGGCGCTAGATAACCCCGCAATATCACTCTCTCCACAGAGATTCAAACATCCCTGTCTGATTTGAAGTTAGATACGAGATTCGTAAATTTGCGGAGGTGCTCAAGCTTAGTCATGGGTTATTCCGTTTGCGGCACGCGATTACAGCAAAATATCACAATTACTGCGGGAATGATTGGCTTAACGAAGCGAAACTATGAACCGAGTCTTGAGAAGACCCTCTCCCGACAGAAACTAGGTGGCAATAGCATGAGATCTAGTCACTCATTCTAGACGTGAACGGGCCAAGGGTCTGTAGCGGAATCATCTTGGCAGCTTGGCATTATTGTTGTGATGTCAGTGCCTAGACTTGAGCTTTCTCGGAAACCCCCTCATGATAACATGAGATTCTACACCTGGCTCAATATCAGTAAAGGTCTGTATTCTTATGAATATCAATGAGAAATGACAGTATAGTGCCATTTCCGACGAATGACCGCGTGATGGGCCAAGAGCATTACCGCTATAACCATGTGCTTGGCGGTCTGAGAACTGATATTTGGTCTGTACCACGTTATCGCTGCTAAGGGATCCTAGCGATCCCTAGCTTCAGGGGTTATCAAGTATCTTAGAGGAGGGTGTTTTCTTCACCCTATAGGATTCAATTGCCACCAACATCACCGACCCCGCAGGCTTTACTTCACCTCAACCCTTAAGCTGCCTGGCGCAAGTTAAAAAAGTAGATCCACGTGGGAACTAAGTCCTACGCGGTTCTCGAAAGTAAGAGAGGCAATTATCCGCCTTGCTGCCTAGCGGGATAGATCCGCTGCCCTACGTGACCAGACCTAGACACTAATTTCAAATTGTGTCTTCAGTGTCAATTTGCGCTATTTCGACTATTCAAAGTATCACACTGCAAAGTGTTCATCAATGAATAGCTTGTACTAACAACCCTTTGTAAGCCTTCTTAGTTGAAAAGAAGGGTGGAAGGACTCTCGGGATATACGTAAAAAGGGTCATGAAAAGATTCAGCTCATACGAACATAGCGTATTGGATGATAACACAATGAAAGGGCTTTCCAGCTTCTAAGTGTCCAGGACAAAGCCATCCTACTTTTCGAAGAGATGAAGCAGGACTTAGTTAGACTTGGGATCCCAGTACAATATTATATGCTGTATGAATTGGAAACTGACTTTCGGACTAATATAAAACAAAAGTATTCTATAATAAAATAGTTTGTTTAAGTAACTATATAGTGACTAATAATAGATGACTAAAGCATCAGCAAACATTCACGGGTGACTACTTAATTACTAAAGAAGGTGTGATAGGTACGCATGTCGTTATTCTATGCATGCAGGGCGTGACGCTGGCCTTCCCTCCTACAATGTCGCCGACCAATAGCTTTTCCAGGACTGCGTCACTCGGAGCAATGATACATCTGTCCCACAGTTACAAACAGGGCCGAAGAAACAGGGAAGAATTACAAATCATGTCAAGATAGAGAGGCAGAGAGACGTATATATGCCATCAAGATTCGCAACCAACACCTCACACACCCCTCCATCATAGTATCCCACATCATCACCATGCCCTCAATTTCCGGTCAATCTCTTCTTGTCATTGGCGGTTCGTCCGGCATTGGCGCCAGCGTCGCCCAACTCGCCGTGGAACAAGGCGTGCGCGTCTCCATCGCGTCGTCCAACCCCGCTCGCGTAGCCAATGCCGTCGCCAAGATTAGATCCCAGTCCCCAGAAACGATCCCCAACACTCAAATCAGGGGCTTCACTATTGACCTTGCCCAGCCGGATGTCGAGCAGCGCCTCGAACAGCTCTTGGCCGACGCCACAGCCGATGCCTCCGAGCTTCTCGACCACATCGTCGTCACGGCCGGCAAACCGGCAACGCGGCCACTTGCCAGCACCGACCGTAACTATCTCTTCGGTCAGGCCCAGCTCATACTCATTGTGCCGATCCTAGTCGCCAAGCTCGCCCCGCGGTTCCTCAAGCCGAGCTACACCTCAAGTGTGGTCCTCTGTGGCGGCAGGCTCGGCGACAGGCCCATCAAAGGGTGGCCGACTGGAGCAGCATACGCGGCCGGGTTGACTGGGCTGACGCGCGCACTGGCTCTGGATTTGGCTCCGCTGAGGATCAATGTCGTGCATCCTGGCCCGACAGAGACGGAGATCTGGGGGGAGACGCCGGAGAAACGTAAGAGCGTGAAGGATTTCCATGCTTCGACGGCTCTATTGGGCAAGGTTGGTACGCCGGAGGAGGTGGCAGAGGCGTTTGTTTACCTACTCAGGGACTCGAACATTACGGGCACGAGTATCAATTCAAGTGGAGGCGTGCTGGTGCAGTGAATAAGCGGGCATCTCTTCTCGGTGCTGTCACCGTATGTATCTTCATATGTGCTCCCTCAAACAATAACGCAACAAAGGTATCCATAGCAGTCTACTTCTTCCCTCGGACAGTTCTTTCTATGCTTTCCGATTGGCGTCTCTCAATATATCTAGCGTACACATCGAATATATATACGTCTACGTAGAGGACTGCCCTCGTATGACCCCCGCTGCGTGTGGATGTGCTTGCTGGGTTCAAATTTGTAGAATAGGACATAGACGGTGGATGAGCATGCTAGACATACTGCGTACATTTTTTGACGATATCAAGATCATATTTCTCGCCATTTCTAACCTCAGATGTCCAGAGAGGATTAAGCTTGTATTCTCGGTAGTTGCCCTTAGTATATAGTCTCCCAACCTACATCGTTTAGGACTTTACGACCCAGGTTTGTTGATCTCCTTATTAACAGATCGGAGACAACATCTCTCATGATAGTTACTCATGAAATATCCCATCAACATCATGTTCCTTCCATCGAATATCCGGCTCCAGTCCCGCAAACTTCCACTCGCCCTCCACCTTCCGGTACTGAATCGTCGCATTCCCATGCGCATGGCCCTTGACCAAAACCTCTGTCAGCGCATCATCGCCGTATTTCTGATGCGCCACACGCATTTGGTGATATCCTGTGACCGTATCCTCTCCCGTCTGCACCCATTTAGAGGCCCCGACCAAGTGCTGCGTCTTGATGCGCGCATTTCCGAGAAATTTGGCGCTCGACGCCAGTGCGACGAAATCGTCAGCAGCCATGGACTTCCATTCTTGGCCCATCACGGAGCTGTAGTTGATCTATTCACATTCAGTCAGGTTACTGGTGAGGTGGCTGATGATCTCGGGGGATTGGACAAGGGCTAGTACGTACGTGCAGTGTTGGGGCGATGCACTTGGCAAGACGGTCCCAGTCCTTGCTATCGTAGCTTTCGGCCCATTCGAAGAGTGCTATTTGACAGCCTGCAATGGCTGAATTCGAATTGATTTGATTAGTCAGTGTTCAGGGACCGGTAGTGAGGGAGAGAAATGTCATCCGTACGTACCTTCATACGCAGGCGGCTGGTAGGCGGCTTTGGTCATAATTACTGACTGGTAGTGATGGAGGAGGGTGCAACACTTGGTCAATGGAAAAGGAAATGTACCTGATTGGCTTTTATCTCCCTCTTGGGCCATACTTCGGCCTATATCTAATGTCCCGAGCCTGACCTCCCGAGACACGGCTGTCATGTCGGGATGAGTCGGACATGGTAGACGCCGTGATTCCGTGATTCCGTGATTCCTGATGCTCGAGAAACAATATATAATCTATAAAAAACTGCTATGGCTAGTGTTTTCTTCTCCAAGAAGACATAATCCATCCCAGTTATCCTCATCTACATCTACCTCAACATGACAACTACCCCCTACATTCCCGGCCGCCTAGACGGTAAAGTAGCCCTAGTCACCGGCTCAGGCCGTGGCATCGGGGCAGCAATCGCCATCCAGCTCGGTCGCCAGGGCGCCAAAGTCGTCGTCAACTACGCCCTCTCAGCCGAACACGCCGAAAAGGTCGTGGCGGAGATCAAAAGCCTCAACTCAGACGCGATCGCCATCCAGGCGGACGTCCGCGACGTGTCGCAGACGGCCAAGCTCTTCGACGCGGCCGTGGCGCACTTTGGCCAGCTCGACATCGCCGTCAGCAACTCGGGCGTGGTCAGCTTCGGCCACCTCAAGGACGTGACAGAGGAGGAGTTCGACCGTGTCTTCAGCCTCAACACCCGCGGCCAATTCTTTGTGGCCCGCGAGGCGTACCGAGTGCTGCAGGAAGGCGGGCGCATCGTGCTCACCTCGTCCAACACGTCAAAAGACTTTAGCGTCCCCAAACACTCGCTCTACTCAGGGTCCAAGGGGGCGATCGACTCGTTTGTGCGAGTTCTATCCAAGGACTGCGGCGATAAGAAGATCACGGTCAATGGGGTTGCGCCGGGGGGCACTGTGACGGATATGTTCCACGCCGTATCGCAACACTATATCCCCGGCGGAGAGAAGTTCACGGCCGAAGAACGCCAAGCGATGGCGGCGCATGCGTCGCCGTTGCATCGGAATGGGTTTCCGGAGGATATTGCTAATGTGGTTGGGTTCCTGGTGAGTAAGGAGGGCGAGTGGGTGAATGGCAAGGTCATTACTCTGGATGGCGGCGCGGCGTGATGATTGTTTTAGAATCACAACATGAACTTTGCTATTGAGAACGTGGAATAAATCATGCAATAAATACTACTGTACTCATTGCGTGTTGTTCGTTCCCACATTCATTGCAGTACCCAATTGACATATCCATAATACCAACCCTAATAAATAATATGTTATCAGACACAACTTACGAATCCTGACTGAGAACGAATCATTGATTATTGGATGATCCGCGTCCATGAAATTAATCATGAAGATGGTATCCTAGGATAAAAAGTGAGAAAATGGTAGATATAAAAGAAAAAAATTTGGACTGTTGGGATCCGATATATGTAGTACAGTGGAGGAACTGCTGACCGAACAAGGCGCGGTCTATTAAACATGATAATTAATTACTTATGACTCTCTGCGCATAGTAGAGCAACACAGACATTCATTCTCTTCTAAAACACCCCTATATAATATCCTCTCATACAGTCCTACCACCCCTTGTGGCCGACATCTTCTGTAGCCCTCTCTACCACGACCTCTCAATAGATACAATATGTTCATCAACTCACCATGAATTGTATAATTACGGCCCCGTGTTTAACGGTAGGTAAGGGTGCAGAAATGGAAAAAAGTGTCGCAGCAGCCCCATGAAGATACACATCGGAGTGCCCGTCGGGAACTTGGCCTTCTCATTTGCATTAACCACACTCACATCTCGCATATCATAGCTCCCATCTGCATCTTCCGCGGCCTCAATCATTGCAGCAGCCAGGTCCAAGTAGGACAAAGGGCTCTCCTCGTCGGTCAAGCTCAGGGCATGTCCTCGCTGGATGTCAACGGAGAGCGCGCCCGGCTTGACAAAGATAGTTGTCAGCCAGTCCCCTTCGGCGCGAAGGATTCTTTCAGTCTCGATCAGGTCGTTGTAGACGTGTGACGCTGAGCGGAGGAGGACCAGTCGGAGGAGGTATGGCACGTGGCGGGAGAAGTGGTCGTCGATGGTCGCGGATGACAGCAGGACGAGCTTGGGTGGTTTATGTGACTTGTTGTCCCCGGATATAGCTTGCTGCCTGGTATTGTAGAGGGATTGGATTACCGCTTTGACCGTGTCTTGGGCGATATGACAGTTGGGGATATTGTCGTTGGTTGAGACAACCAGGAACACCACCCGACAGTCACTGAGGCATGAGGTCAGAAGGGAACTGTCCTGAATATTGCCTTGGAAGATTTTGACTCTTTCTTCCTTGTCGAGGTTGGGCAAGAGACGGAGAAGCTTGGGCTGGTTGCGACAGTATGCGTGGACGTGGGCGTCGGGATTCCGGAGGAGATTCTGGATGAGTGCCGTGCCACAATTGCCCGTGGAGCCCAAAACGGCGTAAATGTTGGGAGAGGACATGTTTTCGTCTTGTTATGTTGGCTAAATCACTGCTATAGGAGAATCGACGTTGATTATTCAACTACTGCGAACTGATGTTTGTTTCTATATTCAGCCCCCTCGGTGTATTAGATTACAATGCTACTCGACGGCATATTTGTCCCGTGAAAGTTCGGAAGATTGAATTTCTATCATGTACTAGTAGACTATAACATCTGTCTGTAATGAAATGTGTGTCTACTGTAGAGCCCCCTGTTCCGCCAGGTATTTATGGAACAAGGGGAAGAAGTGTATATAAAACGCAGAGTCCACCATTTCTTCCAACTTTTGCACCTTCAGTCCATCGTTGGTCAACCACAAAAAGATAGCATATTCGTTGGTCCATCTCTCCTCGGGAATTGGTGTGTCTGCGGACGAGGTTGCATACACTGCGGCCGTACTGTTGGCCGCGTCGTGAACGATATGCTTGATGTCCAGCTAGCCATTAATTAATTACTTTGACTTTGGAACGTAGAATTATACAAATGTGTGTTAAATGTGTGCCTACCTTCCAGTTTGTCAACCCACTCACTAGCTTAGGATAGAAGAATTCAGCGTGACTTCGGGATCGAATTGGCTGTTGTAGCGAGTAAGGCAGCAGTTGCTGCTCAAAATCATCGGACCACAGGCCGATAGTCCCTTGGGCGTTGCCATCCTTCCATGCTGCAAGGAACTTGTCAATGGTGTCTCTTTGGGTATGGGCGGGAGCAGGCATTTTGATATATATAATCAATCTGAATGAGGTGACAAGAACAAGTGGTTCATAAGTCTTTGGGACATACCCATTCTCTTTATATAGTATGTCTGTACAACTCGGGCTATTACCAAAGTACCAGCAAATTGACTGAGTGTTAGGGATCATTTTGTGATATTTTACCACTGACTACTACCGGCTGACAAAACGGCCAAGTATCATTACTTTAACGAAATAAATAACAGTCTATTTCCTAGTGGCTAAAATGATCATGACAGGGAAATAGCCCTCAACGGTCTTCCCGTCAGCCAGCAACTCGTCCAACTCCTGGAACAAGTCCGCCAAAGCGTCCGGAAACCGCGAGATGAACGGAAAGGACCGAAAATGCTCCGTGATCCCCTGCAGGTCCGTCTCAAAGGTCCATCCCTCCATCTTCTCATGCGACTCATGGTCGCCCGCGCCGTAATTCGGCTCCTGATTCCGGTGCGCGAATTCCAGGGGCAACATGCCTTGAATTCCCCCATGCTCCATATTCACATGGATGCGGACCTCGTCGCCAAATAGCGTCCGATCAAGCGGCGCGACATTGTACCGGTCCTGTGTCCGCGCCATGACCTTGACCACCTGGTCCGGATCCTCAGACACGCGGAGCAACTCCCTGCCCCCCTGATGGCTCAGCCGCTCCCACAGATCTTGCACTTTCGCATTACGAAAGCGAGCGGGTCCAAAAAGGGACGCCGCAAACGTGCCCCCGGACCGCAGCTGGCGCGCGATCGTCGCCATTGCGTCGAGCTGCGGCTCAGCGAAATGCATCACGTTCGCTGCAAAAACCATGTCCACGCTGCCGGCGGGGATGTCGTCGGCGTCCTCCAGCGCGGCGGTGCGGAAGACGAATCCGGCCTGGCCCCGGAGGCGTTCTTTGGCGAGGGCAATGTTGTCGGCCACGATATCTGACACGATGACATTGGGAAACCGAGACCCCAGTCGCTGGGAGTAGGGCCCGTTTCCTGCACCAATGTCGTGGACGGTGTCAAAAACTCCGCCTTTGGACTCGTGGAAGCCCCAAATGCGGTCCCAGAAGGTATCAGGGACTTGGGGACGGCCGCGCGAATAATTCTCCCAGAACTTGTCATCCTGGGCGAAGATTCGGTTGGACGTGTCCATGCTGGGCGGTTGTGAGGTTGTCACGATAGTGGCCATCGCAGAGATAGAATGTGGAATAAACGAGACAGAGCAGAGTGGTAGAAGCTGTGCAGTATGACTGGTTTCAATAATACTCGGAAATTACCATGAAGCTCAGTGAGAATCTGCCCAATGACCCAAGTCCTATAATGCATTACGATTTATTGTTTTGAATAGCGAGAAAAAGTTTCGTTTGTCGGGACATTGTTCGGGGGATTATTAGTCTCAGTGTCAAAGACGTCCAGCCGGGATAAAGCGCATCGGCGCAACTGAATCCACTCCGGAAGAGCCTACGTCCACCATCTCACTGAAAATGAAAAGTAGACTGGTCTGGACTATGACCTCGTAGTCCAGTGTATAATGTGCTAATAGGCGAAATCCGATATGGCCCCTAGGATAAGGATGTCGTCGTATACGGGATGTTAAGTCGCAGTGAATGTACATGCAATATAACTTACATGGTCCATGAAGTAACCTTAAATAACCACTCTATAACGAAGTATAATACCATTGAATAGATCTTAAAAAGCAGTAGCACAACAATTTAGATATTTGGTAGTATCATCACTATCAAGTTTCACGAGTATACGGACGTAATTTGTCAATCAGCTCGAAAGCGCAGCTTCAAACTATAGTTCCATCAATCAATCATATCTGTCTTCGCCCCCTAGCTCTAGCTGTAATACTCATCCAACCACTCCTTCAAGTCGCCGATCGTTTCATAATCCAAGAATAGGCTCCCGCTGACCTTGACATCCAGCTCAGTCCGGAACTTCTCTGCTATAACCAGTGACATGAGACTGTCAATGCCTAGCTCAGCAAACCCAGCTCCATCCTCCATATCAGCAAGATCTAGAGCGGCCTCGTTCGCAATGAGCATGATGGCCCTAGCGGTGATGCTGCCCGATGCAGCGGCAGTCTCGATGGATGGAGCGGCCGCGACGTCTGTGGCAGCAGGTGAGACATTGGTTAGCGTAGCGACAGGAGGCTCAATGTCACTTTCAAGGCCGGAGGCGTGTATAACGAGGGCCGGCTTTGGTGCTGGTGCTGGCGTAGGTGCAGGTGCTGTTGTGGCGGGAAGCTTCTTTGGTAGGGGTTGAGTGTTGGGCGGCTTGCCCTCTATCGCAGCCATCTTGTCCGGCGGCGAGAAGAAGCGGCTGAGAAGTATGCGAGGGTAGCGGCGGAATTGGATCCCATTGACGATGCCAACAATGGCACCGTCTTCCTGCAGGACGTATACATCGCCGAAGTAGATCGTCGGGTCCTCGGTTGTCGGGATCATCTTGACATACGAACGATACCGGGCACCTGGGATCAGGGGCTTCGCGAAGCGCATCGCCTCCCAGCCGGGGGTGACGCAGTAATTGTTGGCTGTGTCTATGGCGTCGGAGCAGTTCATGATGAACCCCGCGAGGTGCGCGACGCTGTCGATAAAGTACGGCGGGACGGTCCAGATGCCGCTCTCTTGGGTGGTAAGCTGCACATCGGCGAACCCTTCAAGGTCATGTAGGACAACCAATTGCATGCCGCGGTACTTGTCCGCATAGGTCACCAGGTTGCTAGCGAAGAGGGTGTATGCCATGTTGCGAGAGAAACGGCTGGCTTTGGCTTGTGTCGCCAGGTGCTCGAGCGCTTCGATCCGACTCTGGATGAGGTGCGCGAGGAGGGGGCCCACGACGAGAGCCACTCGGAGGCATCTTGCTGATAATAAATGTTGGCGGTGGCGAAGGGCTCATGAGCGTGGCCATCATTGTCTACGTTCTGCCAGGTCAAGTCGACGACTCCAGAGGCAACATTGGCCGTGGTAGCAGTTACTCGGAATAACTGGGGGATCTTCTTATTTTGTTGCGCGACAAGACCCTTGCTGACCATGAGATTGGCAATGTTCATGTTGATATTCTTCTTAGCCTTGGGATTTAGCTTTTGGTGCAGATACCCACCGAGGGTGTATGCAATATCAGCGTGGATGGACTATGGACCAGAAACTTAGCAAATACGTCCAAGAACTGGTCCCATAACAGATGCCGACTTACCGATGTGATAACACCACAGTTGTTCATGCTGTGCCCATGGGCAGCAGACAGGAGGTCTGCTTGCATAAGATCCGACTGCATGACAACCGTACCAGCAGAGCCATCAAACGTCTCCTCGATTATCTGCTGCACGGTAGTAGTCTGAATCTCACTAGCTGGTAGCGCTTTTGGCGCCGTCTTTGCTCGGGCAGCGTCCTTCTCGGCATCATAGAAAGTATTGCCCTTGGTCAAACACCAATCTCCTTTATACTGTAGCCAGTAGTTCTTGTCGTTCCAAGCGTACGTTGGCAGGTCCAAGAGACGCAGCCTGCTTTCGAACGGGCGATGGAACTCGTTCCACCCGACCTCCACACCAGCCAAGTGTAGAGCAGCTATGCTCTCCGCAATGGTCTTCCAATTATCATCCCCGCGGCGGATCGACGGAATGGCCAGCTCAGTAGATGGGATAGTTGATTTGATAAAGCCGGTACAGACCGGATGCGGCCCAATTTCAATCCAGACAGTCTCTTCGCTGATAGTGGAAATCTTCTGGGCGCTTTCTAGCGCAGAGAGGAAGTCAACTGTCTCTCTGGTGGCCCGGCGCACGTAGTTTGCATTCAGTGTCTTGCCGTCGAAAATGACTTTGCCAAAAAGGGGAGAGATCACGGGAACTCGAGGCTCCTTGAAGATGACGCCTGATGTTGCAATGGCCTCATAATCATCCAAAATAGGGTCCACCTGGCTGGAATGGAAGGCAAATGCAACGTCCAGTCTGATACATTGGTAGCCGGCCTTTTGAAGGGAGACTGCGATGTCATCTATCTGCTCCTTGGTCCCGCTGAGCACCGTATCCGACGGGCTGTTGATACAAGCGACCGTGTACGGCTTGCCCTCTGCGTTCTCGGCGATCTGTGCAAGAGAAGCCCGAACGGCCATCATATTATGGCTGCCACTCTTACACCGCTCCTCGAGCAACTGGGCCCGGCGTCCAACCATGAATATCGTATCACTAGCGGTGACAACACCTGCGATGTGCATTGCCGCGTACTCGCCGAGGCTATGGCCGATGATAACATCTGGCTTCACTCCCAGAGAAGCCCAGTATTTGGCCAAAGCAATCTCGGTACAGACCAGAGCAAGTTGGGTAATAACCGCAGAGTGAGCATGGTCCTTAGGGTACGACCCGTCAAGGACTGGAATGAAGGATGGAAAGCCCTGGCCCTGAGCTACCGAGTCAAGCTGCTGAATACAATCTCGGAAGGTGGGCACATCACGGTATAACTCCAGATTCATCGACTTGTATGAGGCGCCTTGACCGGTGAAGCTGAATGCGATTGGAGGGTGACCAGACTTTCTAATAGGTTTAATTGAATCCACTTTATTCAAGATGACACCCAGCTGCTTCTTCAGATGTGGGACGTTGGAGGTGGAAATCGCGACGCGATATGTGTGATGATGACGGCGGGCAGTCGTCGTGTACGAAAGATCAGCCAGATTGATATCAGGATGGACATCAAGATGGGCAATCAAGCGTTCAATATTCCTCGCTAAAGACGCCTTGACCTTAGCCGAGACAGTGATGATGTGAGTCTGCCGTGGGTCTGCTTCGGTGATATCGCGAACTGGCGCCTCCTCCAGGACCATTGTGGTGTTGCCACCCGCGGCGCCGAAGTTGTTGACTGCTACTAAGCGCTTCTTTCCAGACACCTGGGGCCAGGATGTCATCTCAAGTGGAATATGGAGATTACGCTTGTCAAAGTCTTGAGGGAACCGGGGATTGATCTCTGTTTTGATGCCGATATGTGGCGCGATGGCGCTCTTCTGGAGCATCAGAAGCACCTTAATTAATGCGGTGGTCCCTGCAACAGACTCGCCATGGCCGACATTTGCCTTGACCGCACCAATATACAAGGGCTGGTCCTTGCTGCGACGCCGGCTGAGTGGTGCATACACGTCTAGTATGCCCTGCATCTCCTCATGGTCGCCTGCTTGGGTGCCGGTGCCATGAAGCTCGACGTAGGACACATCTAAGGGATCGACGCCGGCCTGTCGAAGAACCTGCCGGGATAGATAAGCTTGGTGGCCGCTATGCGGGTGAGTGATAGAGACTGCCTCCGCAGAATGGTTGGTGCCGGCACCGAGAATGACACCCAAGATATTATCATTGTCTGCTTCGGCGTCTTCGAGTCGCTTGATAACTAGACTTCCAATGCCGTCCGCACGGCAGTATCCATCGGCAGTGGCGTCCCATGTCTTACAGGCATTGTGTCCTTTGGTGAGGAAGTGGCCGTTGCACAGTCCAGTGAAGCCGTCAGGGTTGGTCAACACGTTGACGCCTCCTGTGACGGCAGTATCAACAGTGCCGTTCCAAAGAGCTTGGCAGGCGACCTATAGATGGTTGATGGGTTAGTTTCACTCCCTTGCATATATAATGATAGGATGAGTGTATATATTACCTCGATCGCTGCAAGACCCGAAGAACATGCGGTATCAATGCTGTAGCTGGGACCAGCAAACTTGAAAAAGTAGTTGATACGGCCAGGGCCAAATGCTCGACAACCACCCGGGATATAGTAGGTGCTAACCTCTTGGCCTTGGTTCACCTCACGGTAGTCGTCCGCGGCTTGGCCGTAGAATGTACCGATGCGCTGCGACTGTGTGGCTGGAGTCCGATTCCCAACATACCCAGCACGCTCCAGTGCCTCGTACGCCGTGACAAGAGCCAAACGCATTTGTGGATCAACAACCTGAGATTCACGGGGGGACATGTTGAAGAACGGTGCGTCGAACAAACCAGGCTCATCAATAAAACAACCATACTGGGTCGTCGTCTTGTTGAGATCTTTGCCGGTTGGATCGTAGTGTGTCTCCACATCAAACCGGTCTGCTGGGATTTGCCGCGAGACATCCAAGCCCTTCTCTAGGATCTCCCAGAATTTCTCGGTATTTGTCGCACCCCCAGGAAGTCTGCACGACATGCCGACGATGGCGAGCTTAGATTGTGCATGGCTGCGTGGAGTTGTGTCTGCTGGCGCGACCTGGGTGACCCATGTCATAAGATTGTGGATGGAGATCTCAGGGTGTGTGATACTACTTTGCAACGCCGTGGTGAGGTCATTGAGAGGAATCGAGTTGCCAAAGCTGTACAGCATCACTTCCGAGGCACACGTTATTTCGACTCTCTGGACCGCATCGACTACCACACGGTCCCAGTAGATAGCCTGGGTGAGAAGCTCAGAGACTACAGCTTCGAATAGCTCTGTGGCATTCTTGGCTTGGTAGTATAGACCAGTGCTGGTTGAGCAGACTGGTGTCATCGGCCAAGCCTTTGTGCTGACTGTGCTCAAGGAGCTGCGATGGACGATTGTCTGCGTATCTCGCAGACCGTACACATGCGGTGCATGGCAGAGGCCGCCGTAGACTGGCAGGGGAATAAATTTGGAGTCGCGGAAGAAATCCGAAGTGTTGAACAGCGAATTTAACCTCGCTGGTGGACCGCTCACGGTGACGGAAGTCCGGCTGACGGCGCTAATAAAGATCTTACCGGTGTCAGGAATCTCTTGTCGACTGTGAATTGTATCGAGTTCTTTTTGCGCGGCATCTGGGTCGACACCATGAACGACATACGCCCACGTGTCTGGACGCTCTGATAGCTCACGGGCTTCCAGGTTCGCAGAGACACCCTGAACGTGGATGCCCAGGCGAAAAGCTAGACGGACGGCGTCTGCTCCCGCGCGAGGCAAGTCAGCCAACGTCGAGGACAATGAAACAGCAGTCGATGCCAGAAGGCCAATACCCAGGCCAGCGAGACTCGCGTTTGAAAAGTCAGTCAGCAACTCTCTCGGATGCTTCTCTGCATATCTGACAGCGGAGGTCAGTTAGCAACGAAGCAGAAACGTCAATCTTTATAATTGATCCACACTACTCACCCAATATAAGTTGCCAGTTGAACGAGAACTAGCAACACACCATCCACAGCGCCGCAGATCAAGCCTTCCCGGAGCTCTGTGTCTTCTGACCAGCTTAAGAGGTTATCAAATGGTGGGATCAGCTCCTTCAGCTCTGTGGATAGCTGCCGAACTTCATCTTTGATGGCCCAAGTGGCCCTTGATAGAAATTCGGCCAAAGTCTGCTGTCCATGAGATTTGCTGTGGTTGTGTAGACGACGAAATACGTCCGACAGGTCATCTCTTGGGAACTCGTTGCTGAAATAGACGACCCTCATCTTATGAGAGTCCCTGTCGGAATCCGAACTGATCGTGGGGGTATAGATGGCCATCCTATCAAGGTATGACGAGGCTTTTATGACTATCAATTCATTAAAACAGGAAAACAAGGCTAAAGTGTCCAACACGGGTGAATTACCTCCTAGGCTAGCTGGATGCAAAAGAAAGAGACCTCCAACAACTGGACGCTCTTGGGAGAAAGGGTTGCAAATCGATTAAGGTACTCTTAAAGTGCTTCTAATAAGTCATACCTCAGTACGAATGATCGCTTCGGAACGAATTACGCCACTCAGCCCCCAATTTTCATCGCTCTCCAATTCACCCGCCCCTAAATGCCCGTGGTTTATCCCGAGAATTGATTACTATCCGAGACTCGGCCCTAGTTGACTTGATGACATCCAAGGAGAACACGAGGACTCCCACGCTGCTTGTTGATATCCCTTCTTCAACTCCACTATCACTACTTGAAACTGCTTGATCTGGTAATTTTTACCTACTAAATCATTATAACTTACAGCGCCTCCGCATTTCGCTTTTCACATTATCTTTGTCATTGCTCTAGCCTTAACGGTATATTATGACGATCTGTTCGTCTATGTAAAGGGGTTAAATTAAAACTCCGTGGTATTATCAAAAGTAATTGGCGATGGTAGTAGTAGTCTCAGTGGTGGTGGTAATGGTAGTTATGGTAGTAATATCGATAGTGCTAGTAGTAGTAGTTACCCAGTCTTATAGGGCTCAGGGTTCCACCCCTGCTTCAGGTTGCTTCAAAACGAGACAAAAAATAAATACCAGAATGACTATTACAATTGTCTTAATAAGTACCCTGCCCAAGTGGTTCTGCAGGCTATAACCAGATAAAAGTATAAGACTTTTTAATCCCAAGCGAACCTCTACATCTTGATTTTTCTGGGCGTTTTGCCCTGAAATGGCGATGTATGCATTGGTATGAGATTGAAGGCTTCAATTTATACCCGGCCAGAGAGAGTGTTTGAATCATCCTAACAGGATAAACGCAGGATTGGATATGAAGTCTTATATTATGTTTTGACAGGGGACGGCGCGATGGCAGTCTGGTCGAGCAGACAGGTCGACAGCTGGCAACAAAACCCAATAACAGGTAACGCAGGCCGTGATAAGCAGTCTTCAGCTATTGTAGATATTCGGATGCTATATTAAGGAGCACATTCATGAATCAAGAATCAAGAAATTAATGGCATTGTTGTCTGTCTTTTTTTTCCCGATTCCACCATTCACCTTTACCCTGCATCGAGGATAGTGAGGCATAAGACACTACTATATACACATGTCTTCACAACTAAAGTATTAGCAATTTACAATCCAGTATATAGAGCAGTGTAAAGCACAGTGATAATTAAAAACTTCAGGTATCAAGGGAGAGTTTAAGCCCTGAGGACTATAAGACTGGGTAGCAGGTAGTGTTCATGAAGAATCTTGGTATTCGTGAGGCCCGCCCATGCTTACCAAAGGTGAAATACGCACAACACCTCCCTCTCGCCAAGCAATGTCAAAGCCCGGACGACAATCACCACGCCAAGATTGCGACCCGTCGCAGGAGGAACAAGGACCGCCTTCTCGGCGGTTGAAGCCGCACGGCCAAACAATTTCGCCACTACATCCGGTCAGCTAGCCGGAGCGGGGGTAAAGAAGGCGGGGGTAACGTAAGAGATCATATCAGAGTTAGTGGGTGCCTTTATGGCGCAGAAGATCAGCGAAGGTACCCAACAGCCCGGACTCCATCAGGAGAGAGCCGGTGATTGGCGTGGCGGCATCCAAGAAGTACGTATAGTACGTGAGGGTACTTAATCCGGACATTTGCAGCCGGCTGGCTCGAGCGTTGAGATACGTACACAGACGGCAATGTCTTCCAGTACACAGTATTCCTAATATCTCCGATACAGGGATAAAGGGGCCTAGGGTAGTTCTGGAGATGGTTGACGCGATCGTCGGGCGATTCGGTGCAATTCTAGCAGGAATCATTCTTCTCCATCTTCATTTGTCCGGAGATTCAGGGGGCGCGAGCTCCCTGGTAAATTCAATTTTTTTTTTTAAATATTTCGATACTACCCCGGGGGAATCTTTTTTAGTGGCAAAGGATTGATTTAATTTAACAAAAAATGGACCCAAGCCTGGTCCACCAACCAGAGCCATCGCGGAATGATATCAGAGCCCGGCTTAGGTTAAGCTTGCTTTCATTGTTGGACGATAACGACTTTATTGTCTTTCAAACTGATCCAGCCAGAAAAACGCCAAATGCCACTGAGCGGCCCCGGCGGCCCGCTCCGAAAGCCAATACGGAATGTTCACACTGGCAAGAGATTCACTGGTCGACACGTTGCGCTAGCGACGGTGTGTCGTTTTACGGAGTAATAATTTAGGGAGTGGGGTTGGATGGGGCGCTGTAGTCAACCCAGATTAGGGTTTAGGTTGGTGTGATCCTGAGTTCAAACCTGCACTTACTGCGCGTTCGGCTTTTGGCTTTGGGGTCTCGACCTATTTACGGGGTTTGGGGATGTCTAGTCAAAGTCCAGCCTCGGCAACGTGAGAGGATGCGCCCAGCAATGCAACATTGCAGCAATGTAGCCGCTGTGAAGAGGGGTGGCTGACGTATACTTGCTATCAGCAATACACCTGTGAAAATCGACATAGGGACTTAATTCGACAGTCACAAGCAATCTAGGCATTAACACTGGGGTCAACCGATTGGCCATTAGTGGTCCTTTCTTGGTGTATCTGACGACTTTCACAGCTGCAGCTGCAGCTGCATGTCACCATCCGTTTGAGAGCGCGGGGCAGTGGAGAAATAGACTATTTCGAGGTGGCAGCCTTTCCCGACTATAAACACACAATAAGGAAGATCACAGCTCAATGCTTGATCTGTTCTCTTCTCGCAAATATCAATATAGCTTGCACGTACTTTGACTACTTACGATTAACATAGTTGAAGAACCTTGAACCGCTACGATACCGCAATATGAGTAACAAATCGCAATATCAAGTTCTACGTCGATTCGAATTACGATTGGCCGAGGGTGAGAGATACTGAAACCCTGAAGTTAGTGCTTACAATCTAAGCCCCCAATCTGAACGGCATGAAGGAGGAGCGAAGGATGAGACTGCATATATCCTTGATTCTAATCGCTAGAAGACATGAATTGGAAGGCCTTACTGGGTATTACCTACACAATACGACTAACGAGGGTGCCAGGCACTACTCCAACAGTCTTAGTATTTGGGTTGGCAACTCACTACTCAGATGTCGAGATTATGACAGGGAATTTGCCCACAAGTTCAAATGTCACCTAAATTTACATGGGCGGCGGCATATTTGATGTTTCCAAGCTTGATCCCGACTTGTGTTGACCATTGTTTACTCTCCTGATGCTGCACCGGGGAAATATCAATCAACCCAGAACCAACACTAAGAGCAACCATGCTAGACCTAGACCTCGGCAACCCGGTGCTGGACCAGACCACGCTACCCTCCCCCGTCATGACGCCCTCCCGGCCCAGCGCCGGGGGCACCAAGCTACGAGATAGCTGCCATGCCTGTGCTACATCCAAGATCAAATGCCCCAAAGAGAAGCCCTCATGCTCCAAGTGTAATGCCCGGGGCATTAAGTGCCAATACTTTTTTGCAAAGCGCCCCGGGCGGAGGCGCGAGAACAGCAGCGGCGGTCATCCGAACAGCTGTACCGAAAGCAATAACACCAGCTTCCACACCTCCTCATCCAACTGCAAGCCCAACACCGACCAGGAATTGCAGACCGACCGGTCGCGAGATGAAGATACAATTGAGATCGTGGGAAGTTCTTCCGGGGCTACCACAGCTCAACCCAACGGGTCACCGGAGACCATCAGCTTGCTCGATACACCTCCAGACTTCATGATGTCGATTTCCCCGATGCCAGATAACCCTCTTGAAACGTGCTCGTCAACCCTCTTTTCCGGGATCGGAGACTCGGATCTATTCGCAGATTTACCAGACTTTGATCACGACTTCGACCACATGGATTTCATTATTGCCGACCCCTTGGGTTTTGAACGTCCTCTCGTGGACTGTAACAGCGCCACCCGACACCCAAGTGACATTGGTTCACTTCTCATCCCGGACGAGATCATCAATTGTAGCCATGGCACGTCGGAGCTCAATGAGCTCAACAGTGCATCGTTTACGGGATCATCAGGGGTGCCCTCTCTCACCTCTAGCAGCGTTCAAACGCCGACCATTACAGGGTTGAGTGCGGTACGTGCCACCACCACCAACTATTCACCATGTGGGTGCGTGGCACAGGCACTTGATCTATTAAAGATGCTTTCTTCGGCGCAGTGTTCTTTTGTCTCCAAGCTCACCGACACAGATCTACCGCTCTCGTGGTCGAAACGCAACAATTCGGGCGTTACCGAGAGTGTACTGTCTGAGAACAAAAGCCACATCGAGACAGTAAACAGCATGCTTTCATGCTCCTCATGCACCGAGAATGCCTTCCTACTTGCTATCATCTCCATGATTGGGCTCAAAGTTCTGGAGCGATACGCCAGCGCGGCACGAACACAGAGTTTCGGCTCAAGAGCAGGAAGCATGGACCATTATATGAAGGCGCTGGGACGTACGTGTAATAAAGACGACGCCGCCAATGGTCGCGTGCCCGCGCGTCTTGTCCTTAGCGAACTGCACCGCGTGCAACGATTGGTGAATCAGCTATCACCAAAGCTTGAGGACCCCAAGGGAGGGAATGATCGTAGCCTGGTTCAGGAATGTACGGGCCACCGTAGGGGAGCAGAAGATAATGATATGATGGTAGCAACGTTCTTTTCCTCTAGTACGTTGGCTCTGATGGGGAGCGACTTGCGCAAAAGCCTTAGTTCGTTGTCCGCGGATATCATCAACCGGTTGAGACAAAATTGATGCGGTCGCCTTTCTGTTTTGTTTTTCTTTTCTTTCCATTTTTTTTTCCTATGGAGGGGGCATAATGATTTGGGACCATACATTTCTCGAGGTGTTTAGAGGACTATATGTGCTTGGTTAAGCATGGTCAAAGGTAGAGCTTAAGAGACGGTGTATATAGCCAGCCATCCCTCATCACTCCGCCGACAGTTAAAATGAGCCTATCATGCAAATAAATGGCGCTCTGATGAACAGAGCCACCGCTGTAATTACAAATTGCTTTACTTCTGCTTGCGTGGTCTCCCATCTTTCCCCCGCCCCCTATATATTTTGCAACTCGAGCGTCTCTGTATGTCTCGTCTGCGAATGGACGGGGAATTTAGCTAACGGACTGAGAATCCCAGGCTCATACAACATGACGTGCATCGGGGAGTTTGGCTAGGCTGCATATCGGGTTTCTTTATTAGTCGCTGTGTGTCTCGTCCTCCAATCGGGCCAGTGGTAGTGGCAGCCTGACATCCTTGTCTGATGTCGATACAATCTATAGCCCGAGGGCGTACTAGGAGTATAGGACATCTTTTTCTATAAAGGAAATGAGTGGACCATCATCGACTTTGAGCAGAAGTGGCAGCTATTTAACTCTTTTGGTCTTGTTAGCCGGTATATCACTCCAAATCAATAGTGATCATGACAGTCGTGCAAGCCTCCCAGGTGAAATTGTCCTCCGAGCACCTAGGGCTTGCTCGCATCGACGTCGCCAGTCCTTCCGGTGTAATTGAGACTGCCAACGAGCTCCTGCAACAGAATCATGACAAGTACCACATGTATTTCCGCGACGTCGGGGGCCACAACCACATCGCACACTCGGTTCTGACGGTCCTCGCCATGGGTGGCGGCCCCAAGCAGCTGCAGCGGGCCTACAATGATGGGGACGACTACCAACGCCCCCTGCCCCCCTTGGACCCAGCCGTTGTCCAGTCTCTCCACGATCAGGAGCAGTTCCGCGCCCGAATGCTCGATCTGGACCAGTACACCAACTTCCTGCACTTCTTCCAAATCGAAATCGATTCCAAGGGCTGGCGGGCCGTGCTGCAAGAATACTGCTTCAGCCGCACGCCCCTCGCCGAAGCCATGTTCTCCCAGCTGTACGAGGGACTCTTGCACCCGATCATCCATCTCGGCTTCGGCATCGAGTTCGAGCAGCCCAGCATTATCGCAGAGGGTCTCGCGCACGCAGCCTCCCACGACCCCGGAAACATTGACACCTTCTTCCACCGCGCTGAGCAGCTCGCGCAGTCCGGCTCGGTGCCTGCCAAACCGCTCGTCGAGCTCTACGAGCAGGTCAGGGCTAACGACAAGACCCGCACCGCGGGCCGCATGCAGGATGGGCCGTTCCGACTGCGCGATGGCCCGTTGGCTCGCTCAATGGACGAGATCGTGGCCATCGCCGCACAGTTCCAGATCACGTCCGGGGACCAGGCAGATCTTGAGCGCCGCACGGCGGAGATGATCAACTGCGCTGCATACAGCGCGGGCGCGGCGCAACGACCCGGCAAGGTACGCAAGGTGGACTTCTTCATCATGCACGACGTCACCTGTTCAATTTTCCTCAGCGTGTTGATCCGCCAGGCGTGGATTTCCCTTGAGGACCGCGCACGACTGGTGGAGTGGAAGGCGCGGCTGGATCTTGCGTGGTACGCGGCGAATGGGGCGGCCAAGCTGCGTCTGGATGATATCTCGGGGTATGAGCCGACAGAGAGTAAAGGGATGGGCTGGCGCGAGCTTTACAGTGCCGTTAATGAGGTGCATGACGATGGTCACATTGCTAAGTTTGTGCGGGCGTTGAAAAATGGGGAGGAGGCGTCGAGGCCGTTTGAGGCCGAAGGGGGGGATTCCTTTCCGGTGACTGGGGATCTGTGGTTGAGGATTGCGCAGATGGGGTATGATACTACAAAGAATGGGGTTGATAATAGTGATAAATGGGTTTGGGGATCTGGGTTTGATCTGGCCTGGATGAAGGTGCCGGACTCGGAGGAGTATATTAGTTGAACGTTGCATCTGTAGTCGGTTGGTAATACAGTTTGTTACAGAAGGTTCTTCTTATTAATGTAGAGACGATGGTTTTGTCTTTTGCGCTATAGTTATACAGAAAAAGAGTGTCGTGCTCGCTGTTCTGGTCTAGCGTTCTGGTCTAGTTTATAGTGAAAGTGATACTAGCACGAAAGCGAGCCTTGCCACTTATTTGAATTACTGTGGAATCGGGCAGTAGAAAAAGTCACGTAATTACAAAACCGCTTTCCCTCCTTTTGGAGATAAACTGAAGTGTGATCTTGAACTTGTCATATCCCTGAATTGAAAGCTTGTTCAAGATATGAGATGTGGCTCCAAAATCAAGCATTGCTGAATTTCTCTGATATGTTGATCCGATCATATTTTTCTCCCGCATAACGTCCTTTAGTAAGAGTACGTCTGACGGGCATAAGAACTTAGTCTCTTTCCTGTGCACGAATAGCAATTGCACCGCGTAAGCGATCTATAGCACGAGCGTGATAAGACTAAGGCTTATTTGCCCGATGTCCGATGGCGAAATCGACCCGAAGGTCGACTCGGCGCAAATATGATATACTTCAAATGTTGCATATCGAACGTCCCTGCCTCGCGAACCATAGGCTCATCCAAAATTGTATCAACTCTCATCATGGCACCCGGGGAAGGAGGCTACCGCCAGATTAACAAGGCTCTCAACATATGCGTTTTTGAAGATTACCTAGAGACCCAGCAGAGATGTCTGCCCACACTGCCCGATGTAGAGCAGCTTAGCCCGCGAGTGATTAGAATCCTCGGTCAGAACCCAGGAAAGGCAAGCTCTATCTATCTCTCTCTAGTTCACTTTCAAACTCTTGCTAGGACGAACCGGAGCTAATCTACTGAAACAGTTCACTCTACAAGGAACAAACACATTCATCGTCGGGACGGGTTCCAAACGCCTCCTCATTGACACCGGCCAGGGCATCCCAGATTGGGCCGATCTGATCTCTGATACTCTTTCGGCCAGTGGGATTTCCCTCTCACACGTCCTTCTCACTCACTGGCATGGCGACCATACTGGCGGGGTCCCCGACCTCATCCGCCTATATCCGGAGCTGGCCTCGTCAATCTACAAGCACACGCCGAGCACGACGCAACAGCCTATCGTAGACGGTCAGGTCTTCCGCGTCGAGGGCGCCACCATGCGCGCGGTGCACACACCGGGTCACACCGACGACCATATGTGCTTCATCCTCGAAGAGGAGTGCGCCATGTTCACGGGCGACAACATCCTTGGCCACGGCACCTCTGCCGTGGAGCACCTGCGAACGTGGATGGAAACGCTGCGCAAGATGCAGGCCGAGGGCTGTGAACGGGGTTACCCGGCGCACGGTATTGTGATTGCCGACCTGCGGGCCAAGATTGCCGGAGAGCTGGCGCAGAAGCTGCGACGCGAGCGACAAGTTTTGAAGGCTCTGGTGCAGGCCAAGCGCGATGATAGAGGTGTCGGCCAGGGGCAGGGACGAGGCAAGAGTAGCGTCACGGTCAAGCAGCTTGTGGCGGCTATCTATGGGGAGAGAGTGGAGGTGGGGCTTAGGGAGTTGGCGCTGGAACCATTCATGGCCGAGGTTCTGCGAAAATTGGCTGAGGATGGCATTGTGGCATTTGAGGTGAGGGGAGGAGTGAAGAAGTGGTTTGCGCTTGAGGAGTATAGGTCCAATTAAGACGATGCAATTCTTCTCAATTTGAACTCTGGCCCATATCTTCAATTCAAATTCATTTCTATATCACTATGCTATATAGGCGGTGTCAACTGAAATATACGTCTCACTGATTGAAAGAATAACAAAATAGTCGAGATGCATACCGTTGCAAAACCCTCCTTACACTACCACTTTTACCATCTGAAAGGTTGATTTTCGACCAGCTCTATCTCAACATGTTTATATAGAACAATATCTTCAAAGATGTTAAAATTGAAATAACTATACTAGTATAAGGCAGTATATCAAACTATGCAGCGCCAAAATTGATGTCAGGACTTTTGCCAACTTGGGAGTTCTTTAGTGTAACGTTATGGGGTTGCCCTAACATGTGCGGAAAATCTATCGGACCATCATTTCATCCTCAAATCATAATCCGCCATTTTGTTTTACAGATCTTGAGGTCAATGTATACAGTATGGTAGCCTTTCTGTGCTAGTAAATGAAAATAAATTTGAATCAAAAGTTTCATTTACGGGTAAGAATATGATCAACATAGACGATGTGGGAGGGAAGTGTAGGGAGACTTTTGCAACGCTATGTCTGTACATGAACTTTGAAATACCGCTTCTACCCGTATCATATAGAAAATGTACACTTAGCGTCGAACCTGGACCGTACTTTCAGCCGAATAGTGTAGTGTACGTACCCCTCTTCACTAGGGATGCAGCCAAGACAGCTGACGCCTTACATTAACCCGATGCCATTTCCCCGAAGGTAAGGAACATCGGATCATTATTCATCTCCAATTTACACCCCCAGGTCCTGCAGTAACCCTCGGAACCCCGCGATTGCCCCGACCATCGGAAACAGTGACCGAGTAACATGCAGCCAGGACCAAGTCACCACGAGCTGCTGCACGGCCCCCAAGTTCTCTGTCGTCTCGGACGACGCCTGCTCCAGCCCAAACAAGCTGTTGTTCGTGGGCGTCATGAGCACCCAGGTGAAGGGCACCATAGCGAATGTGGTGACGCCCGCCACCGCGTAGGTGAGCCAATGCTTCCTGCTTGTGGCGCGTTTGTTCAAGGTGATATACACATAAAGACCACAGGTGGCGATGCATGCTGCCGGAAGGATGATGTGGCCGTAGTAATAGGTCCGGGCCCATTGGCGGACGAGGTGGCTGGGGGTGTCATCGGTGTCGAGAAAGACGGGGACTGCGATAGCTGAGAGGCACAGCATTGCGCCTGTTTGAATCAATGAAATATGTTAGGAGGGATTTGGTTTCATGGTTAGAATTGTAGCTGCTTGCCTGACAGTGCGGCACCGGTAATGATAGCAGTTGCTTGCACGCCAATCTGGTGTGGCGCCATGGTTTCCAATCTATCCATGAATGAATGAATGAATTGGTTTAGATTCCATACACTTGTTCAGCATCAGCAGCGAAGGGCAATGAGTTATAGGTTTCAGGCTCCGTCGCAATTTCGGTCCGAATAGTGGCATGGTTGCTTGCATATCTCGGGAGATATCAAAGAATCAGGCCGGGGTTCTTCCCCTTTTCTTCCACGCCTTTTTCCAGGATCCATGCCTTGTCTTATTTTGTTGTTTTCCTCGAACCTGGGGAATTTACCATGACATTCGTTGAACCTGAAATCCCGGAGCTGCCGTCTGGCGCAACAGACGGCAAGTATCTCTGTCTGACCATCTGTGGCTATCGCAAGCCCGGCATGAGTGAGGAAGACTACCGCAACCACATGGTGAATATCTCGGCGCCAATGACTAAAGATCTTATGGTCAAGTATGGGGTGAAAAGATGGACTCAGGTAAATTCCTAAGAAGCTGTGATTGACATTGGCTCATGTGGTCCACTCGATTCATACATATTTAGACTCACAACACAAGTTCAACTCGGGCCTTGATGTCACAGCTATTCGACCCACAGATGGCCAATGTTGCCGACTTTGACTGCTTCAGTCAGGTGGTGTTCAAAGACATTGAAGACTACAAACGGATGAAGCAGGACCCATGGTACAAGGAGCATCTTGTTGGTGATCATGAGAAGTTCGCTGATACCAAAAGGAGTATGTAAGTATTTGATGTGCCTCCCGCTCGACAGGAGCATCTTTTTGATTCGACCTAGGATGACCATAGGCTGGGTTGAGGAGTTCGTGAGAGATGGGGAGGTCGTCGATGGCTTCAAGGACTGCTAGCGGTTGATCGTGGTAGTTATTTTATTCCACCTATGGCATCCTTTACGCTACTAGGTATAACTCTCGATATGTAACTACCGCCACGATCCATGGAGTATATGCAGATGAATGCGCCGGTTTCAATTAAATACAAGAGGCTTCATGCTTAACAGTCAGACCTACAAGTAAGCTATTAGGCGAACGCAGCTGCTTCGTGATAACAAGCCTCCCAAGGCCATCCCTGATTGTCTTTATTACACTGATCAATTCTGTCATTTCCATATTACCCTCATTCACCAGCTGGAGCATACTAAGGTCGTGTGCACGTGCTACAGCCTCCATCATAGGATCAGCGAGGCTCCCAGGTTCCGGAAGCAGATTTGTCGTAGGGATGAGCAAGATACCACCGCTGGCGCGGAGGATGCCCAGATAATCTTGCAGTTCAGCCCTGACCATAGCTAGCTGGTCGATCCCTTCTGCCCCTGCAGGAGAGCCTAGGTGAAGAATGTAAACAGCCGCATCCATCACCGGCTGAGGCGTGCCCGCCGCGCGATATGTGACGGTAATGCGACCGACGGCCGAGCTAGGCCGAGAACTAGAGCTGGAGCTGGAATCTGATTCCACGCCCCCCATCATCTCAATCAGTCGCAAATACTCGAGACTATGTAGCGACGAGGATGATCGCGTGTGGTTGATCTGCACAATCAGACGCAGGCTTGGGAATTCTTGGGCGAGATGCTGCGCCATGAAAGTCGACTGCGCACCAACCTATTATCCGACGTTAGGGTGGTTCGATTCAATTCAATCCATACGGGTAAGTTGCTCTGAGCCGCTCTTACTTCGACGATAAATGCATTCCCAAGGTTAGACCATTTCAATTGCGATAGCATCTCCACGATTTCCTTCTCCTGATGCAATCCCACCGTGTGGCGCAGATACGCCGACCATTGGCGGCTCAGCTTTGGCTGTTCCTGGATCGCGACCCCGAACGGCTGGATCGTACGTAGCGCCAGGCTATACGCTGTCTCTGTTGGGTTGCGTGAGCTTCCGAAGCGCTGCGTCGCCATCGGCATCTGTAATGCCGTCGGGACGGCCACCTCTGCCATGAAGACTGCGGCGTCGAGCAAGGACTGGTTGGTGACGAACTGGGCCGATAAATGGGTGTGAGATACATAGTTTGTGATGGGCTCCTGGAGAATCCCGGATGTCGCCACAAGGCGAATGACGCGGCCTAGCTGGATTTCTGAAACCCCTGCAAGGTCCGCGAGGTCCTTGATGGCCATGCTCTCATCAAGTGGAATACAAGCCAGGATCTGGAATTCCGCAAGCCACTTAAGACAGGCCACAATCTCTACCTAGATTTTACCATCATTAGAGGTGAAATGAATGTAGAAGAGGACAGGACAAATTGCAAACCTGGCGAGCAAGATCCTGCAGCAAGTCGACCGGCCCATCAAGTGCCGCTTTCATCTTCGCCATACTGGCATAAATGCTCGATTTGGTTTTGCTGGGCTCCTGTTCCGCGTCCGAGTTGACCGCGGAAGACTGGGCGTCGCGACGACGACGCTCGGTATGGCTCTTGATTGCAACGGCGAGTTCGTCGCTCCGCGCTTCTAGTTCCGTCAATTCATCCATTGTGGTGGTCAGTACGGAAAGTTTAGGGTAATGAAAAGATGATGTCTCCCGACTTGGTAGAGTGCCCCTCGAGAGCTGGGATCTACCATATTTCCGCCCCCAATTTACAAAGTCCCGGTGCTAGAGAATCGCCAACATATAGACATGCCAAGGATTTCTAAATGGGGCGAGACTGGACAGTTGTCAGCTTAGGTGTGGATTGGTGTTGTTAAGGATTGGTCGAATGTCAGCATTATATTATCTCGGTGCATAGGGGGCCGTTTGCAATCTTTTCGGAATAATGGCAGTTTACTACTAGTCAGGTTGAGGATAGCTTAGATTTATCCAGTCTCATAGACGCCAGGGGCCAACCCCCCATTCTTGGTAATTAGTAACTTAGTACCATAATTTGACGTATTTCACATGCGAGCTAACCAAACTTATTAATTTAAAATGCATTTATCCTAGCCAAAACGCCATGAAATTCAATAAGCTGGATCGAGGTCTAATTGGACAGGCAGTTTTCTTATGACCCTGGCTTTCATATTCTGAACACCTCGGTAAGGCCCTCCCTCGTAGGCAGCTGCTCGGGTTTTGCCTCATGGGGGGCCTATGCTAAAGTAGCTCACTCTGGCTACGCTATTAAAGAGGCCTCTAAGATTGAGAAGCCTTCTTTAGAAAGTATGCCTGTCAAATCAACCCAGACAAGACATCAAGCTCATAGCCAGTACCCCAGCCCGTATCTCCAGTTGGGAAATATTAATCTCCCATTTGAACCATTCTTCTAGCACCTGGACAATTAGCCAATGTTCTGCTTATGCTTTGATCTGTTGCACTAACCTTAAGACCAGTCGCCATCCAACAACTGCTCAATTTTCTTTCCTGCTCCAATATCCTTATAGACGTCTTCGATTGTCCAGGGTACAAACTTATGTCCTGGGGGAAGTTGGTATTCTCAAACTTAGCACCAGCGACAAGATGCGCGAACGCCTGCCCATATTTCTCGTACACATAGGCTTCGGGGTCATGGTTGAATACCCACTTAGGAAAACGCAGGCGCACCATCTTCGGATCTTTCATGATGGTATCCCAATCAGTAGTGGCGTTCAGGAGCTGTGAGTTTACAAAGGCCATCTTTTGCGTGCAGCTGACACGTTGGTATCGTAAAAGATTGTAAACTTTGGCTCCAAGAGGTGCACCACTGGGCCCCCCATGAGATGCTAACTGCAAGCTTGATGCCAGAGTTATTGCGTCCTCGAGAGCTAGAGTCCCACCGCTGACTGATGCTGGAATCGTAGAATGTGCGCAGTCTCCCACTTGCACGACTCGCCCTCCTCTAGACGTCCACTCCGGGCGCAGGTTGCGCCATAGCAGTGGCCAGTGGATCAAGCTTCCCCTCGGGGTAGCACGTATCAGTGCCTCAACTGCCGGATGCCAGCCAGGCAAGCGACGGAGTAACTGAATCACCTCTTCAGGATCGACGTCCGGATCCCACGACTCCTTGGCCTTGGCACTTCCCTCCACCAAGAACTCGTCTCGTGGGGTGATTCCAAAGGCCACTAGATCTGGTGATACGTACAGTCCGATATGCATGCCAGCTCCCAGCCAGAACTCATTTGTCGAGACGCCTTCCCACCTTTTCCGGACTTCTTCATCTTGCATGGCAAGGTGGGCTGGGAAGGATACACGGTAGACAGACATACCGCTTGACCGGGTTGGCATGTGTTGTCCAGCGATTAGAAGTTCGGATTGAGACTTGAAAGCATCAGCTGCAACAACTATGTCGGCTACTCGAACTGAGCCATCTTGTATCACAACTCCGCCCACCCCAGCCTTCTCATCCTCGAAGTAATGATCAACACGTTGTCCGTAGTCAACTTTGATGCCTATCTTAGCCACCTGGCGCAGCAGCATTCTGTAGAACTTCTTTCGAATCTGTACAGGTCCCACATACGGGAAGTTCTCTCGCTCCGCTAAGTGCTCGGGATCATTGTAGCTGGGCTCTGAAGGTCCGTAAATGAGCTCACTGGTGTGCCTATAGTAATAGGTTGGGGCTGTAACTTTGTCTTCTTCGAGCTCACGAAGCATGTCGGGCCAGTGACGGAAGACGGTGATCGCTGAGGGCTGGATAATAATAAGATCTCCTATGAGTTAGGTATCATTAGAAGCTGTTTTTTGTCTCTGTCTTTCGTTTTCCTCGTGTGAGGAGCATGGAAATCAGGACATGACGAACCGCTGTAGTTAGGGCCATTGTTCCGCTCCAGAATTCCCACGACATTATGACCTTTTCTCCAGCACTCCAAAGCTGTCATTAGACCAGCAAAGCCGGCTCCAACAACCAGCACTTTGACATGCGTCTCTGGGTCACGTTTTGGAAGCTCATTGGGAGTACTGGACGTCCACTTCTCTGGATCAAATTCATCCTTGTCGCCCACCGTG